AAATTAACTTAAACACAGAAGTCCCACGTTGATCGAGTTACGAGGTTTTGGCATTGGTTCGCGTGATGTGTAGAGCGAGAGAGATGTTACTGCGTGAGATGATTCTGCAGCTGGCAAATGAGGGCTTTTTAAAAAATGCTTACAACTTGGCTGTTCAAACTCTAGATCAGCCTTTTTCCCCCACACTTTCCCTTTTTTCTAGGATATATGATTGTTATATCTGAAATAAACACATGGGTATTTTCTCCTTCTATTACTACTTGCAACTGCACTGCCGTACCGACTTAATCTTTAGGCCCATCACGGGTGACAGCAAGGTATTCCTTAGCATGGAATTTAACATAGGCAATTTATGGCAGAAAAGTAGCATGGGAATTGGTATTTTTGGAATTGTCTCTGTTCGTAGGTTTCATGGTAGTTATTGCAGGTCAAAAAGAACCCAGAATTACGTCTACCTGCAAGGTAGCAGCAAGTGAGTGTGGTGCTCTCTGAATGCTAATCAGGGGAAGTTTTTTTTTCAGAGAAACACTGCTTTTCATGGAAACTTCACAAAACATGGTTTTGACTTTAACATCCTAATGGAGTCTCAACTCCGAAGTTATTAATTACTATTTTTTCTATGTGATATAACATTTCAGCTCTCTGATGACCAACTTGACGTTTAGTGGCCAGAGCACAGGAAGAGATGGCCTGCGCCATAAGAGCCAAGAGCAGAAAGATTTTTAGGACCAGGGAGTTTGCATTCAAGCAGGAACAGCAGTGATGCCTGCCTGCTGCGTGGATGTGCTGCAATTAGATCTGCGCTTTGCTTGGCATTGTATTTTTAGCTTGTTGTGCCGTAGTAAAATAAGCAGGACAGTTGCCCAGCGTGCTGCTTAGGAATTATGATCATGTGACTGCTTGCCAAATGAATTTATGTCAGCTGATATAATTACATCCCATGGATTAATTTTTTGCATGCCTTGAGGGAGGGTTCTTGTTTCCATTGAAGATGGTTTGACTTCAGACAACAAGAGTGTCTGGATTTGGCCTATATGAATTAGTGCATATGTGGGCCTCAAGAGATGGCCGAGGAGTTCTGGAAATAATTGTGCTGATCTGCTGTTAATATAGGAAGTTCTCTGCCCTCAACAAACCTTGTAAATGCTGTGATATTTGTATCCTTAATTATTTGCATTATTACAATATGGAATCCCAGGATTCTATGATTCTCTGCATATCTATAAACAAAATACTCCTGACTTAATTCCAAGTAGAAGACAAAAGCCATCAGATATATACTGAATACTTAACAGTCATCCTGGTTTAGGTTAAAGCTGTTAGCTTTCTTTCTAGATGTAGAGGTCTTCTTACTGTAGTTTCAAATTTGTTCACAATAGATATCTCTTGTGTGTTATTCTTGTGATACCCAGATAAACTTGAGACCTTGTTTATGCATATAGAGGGGAAATAAAGTAATTTGATTAGGCTAATATAGGAAACCTGTGACTGAGCCTGGAATTTCTCATCATCTGAGGTATAAATGTGGTTCTGGTCACAGATATGTAATTATAACAGTTCACAGTTTCTAGATCTTTTAATTCAAGAGATATTGCTGTACTTGGAATAATGTCTTCAGAGGAAAACTTGGACTTTTTCGTGGAAGAAACATCATGTTAAGGATTGCCCAAGACCACTTGTGGTCTTTGGGGACAAGAAGGTGACAAAGCACATTGGGGACTGTTCAAGTGATGCCCTTGAACACCTTTCTATACTTTTCTTTAAATCGATGCTCTCAGTTGAAATTTGCTATTTGAAAATAGTATACTCATAGGATTTCTTCTGCAAGTGCCAGTTACAGCTGTATATTCCACTTTTATTTTCCTTCAGAACCTTCCTACTCATGGCAGGTAAATCTTCCAGGCTTGGAAGACCCTTGTAAGCCCCTGGCTGAGATTATGCACATGCACATGGAACACAGTTTTTGTGAGCAATCTGTGCCTGAACTGCTGCCACTCTTGAGGACTCTTACAGGAATATAGGAGAGGATGCTCCTGGGGAATGGTAGTGATTTATGAGACCTTCTCTTTACCCATTTTTAATTTTTTTTTTCACTCAAAATTCCTCTGTGTTGGGGGAAAATAGACTTTTCAAAAATTTTTAAGTTAGAAATATTCATGTCAAATTTATCACAAGTGTTGTCACACGCTTCCAAAGGTAAAGGCTGGATACAGTGTACTCTGCAGACTCATATAAGGAATGTAAAAAAAAGTGGTTCATGCAAAAAGGTAAAATGCTTTGGAATTGCTTTGTAACTGTGCTTTCCTGATTCTTCACCTCTGTTGTAAATGCTTTAACTCTAGAATAAAGAAGTCATCTGATTTGTGAGAAAGTTTGTTAAATTTGATCATTTGGCAAGAAGGAACCACAGGTTAGGTGGTCCAAACCTTCTGTTCTGCAGCAGGACCAAGCTTACCTTGCAAATACATGTCTAACTTGTTCTTGAAACACTCCAGCGATGTAAATTCCAACCTCCTTCCTCCCAGGTATCTTGTTCCCATGTTTAGTTACCCCTCTGATCCGGAAGTCCTCTCTAATTTAATCTGTGCTAACTTTTTCTTGTTGTATACTAAATGAATGGCATCTGTCAGTGAACAAGAAGAATGCTTGCTGACCTCTTTACAGCCGCTTTCACGGTGGTCTCCTACAGGTACATCTATGGCTGTTAATGCAATCCAGAACAATGCACGAGTTGTTGCATGTTGTCTTGTATTCAGAAAGCTGTGCAGTCTGACCTCCAGATCCTTTGTGTTTGTGTGTTAGATTTTTCTTCCTTCGTGCATATACTGCTTTGCCTTTGTCTTTATTGAATGAAAAATGTTGTATTTTGAATTATGGTAAAACCCCCGAGCTCACTCTTGCATGTGTTCCTGGGGTCCTTTCAAAGGAAACGAGGGACGTGAGGAGACAGATCATACCCAGTCTTGTCCCAACCGGAAGGGTACTCCACCAAGCCTGGCGTTTGGAAAGTCCTTTTGATCCTCCAGGTTTAGATAACTCACTGATGCGAGTGGAGTTATATCGCAGTTGAATCTGAGGGACTGTTCAGCTCCGTTGTTTCCAAACTGTAGTCCATGGAACAGTTGTTAGTTGTGGAGAGCTGGCTGGTTGCTCACTATTTGCTTTCCTTGTTTCCAGCTGCTCCAGCATATTAAAAGAGTGTAAAAATACACTAAATATTTCCTAATGTTCACTCTCCATAAAAACACCTGCTGTTATTGGCATGGAAAGGTGAATGGCAGAAGTTTTTTATAACATATTGAGTCATTGTCCAAACTTTCATATAAAGTGTGCTGATGGGTACTTATGGCTACTTTTGAGTACAACCAACCTTGCAGTTAATGCGTTCCATAAATCCGAGATGCTTGCGCTGAATGTCATCCATTTTAACAAGCGTTGGAAGTGGTTAAATGACTGACACTAATATACATGGCCTCCCTCTAGAATAATAGAAGTTGAAAGTTGTGTCATACATCTTTTGCCAGATGGTTTTCCTTGTGCTGCAAGAAGCAATTCAGTGATACAAAGGCCATCAAGCAAAAACTGTATACGTGACCTCCATTCAGCTAAAATAGTAAGAGACTACAGCTGCAGGGTAGCTAGAGAACTACGTGTGAAGTAGGAAACCTGAATTCTTTAATGTTCTGACATTATACACTCTTGTTAGTTAACTCATGTCCTCTGTGGCTGAGCTTTTAGCGTGTTTAAAAAGTGAGTAGAAGATCTTAGAATAGAGAAACGCTATCTCCACGCATCTTAACTCATTTTATAAGCCAAAAATCCTGCAACATCTCAGTCATAGGCACAGTTACAGACTTTCTAACATACTTTAGATTTTAAAGGATTTATTTGTAAATGCATTTACATTTTGTATTTTTGTCCCTCTGTTAATTTGTGGATTTTTTTTTTCCACCATAACTTTTAGAACAGGTACATTGCTTTGAAAATCATCATGTTTTGCAAGTAGTTTTCCTCATTTCATGCCCACTGTTGATTGCCATGTTTTCTGGCTTTTCTAAGATGGAAAACATAATTGCTGTAGAGAAGAGATGAACAGAGTGACATAATGGTAAATGTCAGCAAAAAAATAATGAATAAAAAGCAATTAATTCCTTCAAAGGAGCATTTTCGTTTCCAAAGCTATATCAGGATGACAAGAACAAAATGATTCCATCTGGAAACAAATTCTTTTTCCAAATATATTTAATAAAAAGAAATTGCAGGGCAGTCTGCTGCTAGGCAGCGTTCATTTTGTCCAGACAAAGCCCTGCAAAACTACTTAGCGGTAAGTTTTGAATCTTGGATTCACGCAGAGCAAAACTCACTTTACTGCTCAGCAGGGCAGTGCCAGTCTAAAGCACCACTTTAGTTTTACAGACATGAAGCAGTTCCCCATTTGGCTTTATGCTGAGCCGGTGCACTCCAGTGACTTTCACACATCTATTTAAACGGAATGCTGCCTGGTAAAATCTCGATTTGGCCCAGCAGTGGAGAAGGAGCAACCTTTCTAGGCAATGAGGCTGTTTCTGAAGAGAGGAAGAGCTCACCTTTTGCTAGACCCGCTTCCATAGCTGCGACGAATAGCTGAGGATGCAAGCCCTCCAGCTTCACGCCCTCCAATTTTTTCCTGCAGACTTGCACTTTTAACACCCACAGGCCCTTTGGTTTTGCCTGTATTATCTCAAAAGTGTAAGATGTAAGGCTTCTTGCGCTTCAGTAGTGAGAAGTTGCCCTTTGCCATGCTTAATGGAACAGAATAAGAAATAAAAGAATGGGTCATTGCCTGTGGAGTGCAATGTATGTTGTTCAGCCATGGGTGGAACATTAATTTACAGATATATCTTGCTTCAGTGGGACAGATTGTGTATTTAGTAGTTTAACATAGATTGTGTATTTAGTAGTTTAACACAGATTGTGTATTTAGTAGTTTAACACTGAATAAGTTACAGGAGATTCTGTTTTCCCTCTTTTACAAAACATGATGCAATATGTGCCACTTTAGATTTCTGTTTATTAGGGTTATTAAAAAGATTTTGTCTTACAAACTAAGATAAGTACACATTCTTAGGCATTGATCAAGTCTTGTTTGAAATTCCTGCAATTTTAAATAAAATAATATCCTCAACTCTGTGTATGTAGATTACGTTTTTCTCTACTAAAGGTACTTTACTAAATGCCTAGTAAAAGAAGACATCTACTGAACACATCAGCCAACTAAACATTTAGAGCTCAAACTGTGACCAATTGAAATCCAAAATAAAATATTCAGCAGTCTCAGCATCAACATCAATAACATCCAGAATGTCACTGATTGTTGTCCTAAGTAATTACAGTGTAATTACAGAATTTTGGCCTTGAACAGAAGAGTTCAGATGCTGTAATATATGAAGTGATGGTATGACTTGTAAGTGATGATGATGAGTATATTGGAGCCTGGATAGGAAGAACTTACTTTCCTATATTTTTCTGTACATCTATGCAACCTATTTCAATGCTGTACTCTTTTCTTTCAGGTCCAATTTTAAGCTTTTAGCTGTAAATGGAAAGCTCTATGCCATCGGTGGTCAATCACTTTCCAACGTGGAGTGCTATAACCCAGAAAATGACTGGTGGAATTTCGTAGCATCCATGCCAAACCCTCTTGCAGAATTCTCAGCTTGTGAGTGCAAGGGCAAGATCTACGTTATCGGAGGATACACTACACGAGGTAGAAAGCTTGCCTTTACTTTTTTTTTTTTAAAGCCTGATTCCTTCTAAGGTCTATTTTCTTCTCTTTTTCAAGAGATCTTTTCAACTGATGTAGAAAGTGCATAACGCTCATTAAAACATGTAGAAATAAGTCATTGGTAGAAAGTAATTGACAAACAAAACAAAAAATAGTTCTGTCATAGAGGAATCAGATTTTTTTTTTTAGGGTCTACATGGATCTGGGGCTCTTATTCTGAGGGGGCAGACTGATGGGTACTTCAGCACCCATTTTAGCCCTTCTTTTTGGGGATTTTGATCACACAGTAAAGAGATCTCAACAGATAGACTTTGTTTACTTCTTAAATACCTGGTTTAGACTGTCAGGAAGAAAAATATGAAGAAAATATCTGCCTGCATGGGTATTTCTCAGATATTAATAGATGCCATGCTCTTTTCACTATAGCATTTCAGTGTTTCACAGGCAAATTTAAGTTATAGGTAAGATTTTCAGTGTGAAATAACTTAATTGAATAATTAATCAGAAGCTTAAGCAAAAACCAACATTTTTTGACCTGCTTCCTTTCTATACCCTGTTTTCTGAGGATACTATACAGAGGGAAGGATTTGAAGTTGCATTCTCTCCTGACAGTTTCTCTTTCTTTATCCAGTAGAAAAGCAAGGCACTTAAAATGAGCTCCTGTTTGTTCGTTCCTTAAGCATACAGTGCCATTCTTTGGGAGGAATACCATTTTCTCAGCTTTTTAGAAGTAATTTTTTTTTCAAGTCAAATGTTCAGTACTTACCAGAATTTCCTCGATTTAAATTCCTATCTCTAGGCCCTTGCTGACTTCTTTGACCACAGTAGCTTTAAACTTTTTTCCAAATGGAGAATAAAATTAGAAGAAAGATCAGCCTTTTCGGAGGGTACTGCAAGCAAAGCTAACCTGACATTAAAACAAGCTATCCTTTCTAGTGGCTGAGCAGATTTTAGCCCTGAACCATTATAAGGTTTATAAAAGACCCACTTCCACCCCTCATGATCCTTGTGGCAGTGATGACCTTCAAAAGCATTTTGTCCAGTCCATTCTGGCCCAGAACGTGGTGGCTTCCCTGAGGAAAACAAAAGATATTGGAGTGCCTGTGTCCATTTGGAGGGTCCTAGTCCTCTGGTCATCCCCACTAAAGGACCTGTTGAGGTGCCTTGTGTTCCCTGATGTCCGGCACAGGGAGTGAAGGATGTCCCGCACACAACATTTGCTGTGCTGAAAAGTCAGACCCAAGGGGAAACATCCTTTGAGACAAGAGAGCAGAGAACAAGGAGAAGGGACTGAAACAAACAATAATGGGAAGACTCATCTCTAGAGACCAGAGTTACGGCTTTGTCATTTTTATCCAGAGAAGCAGAAAGAAGATAGAAGAAGAAAAAGCTCTGATGTGGTTAATAGTGCTACAAGATTATGGGAGTGCCAGCTTTTCTCCTTACTTCCCATGCACTTTGCAAGTTCCATTTCCATGGTGCTTGTGCTGTTTTCTTCAGGTCACCTACTCCTGGTAGCATGGATAGGAAGATCAGCATCTTGCCGATGCAGAGCCTATTCCCTTAAAATTCATTAACAAAGTTTATGTAGACAGGATTGCTGCCCTATGTTGAGCTCCTTGTTCAGTACTTACTGTCTGTGGTTTCAATAGAAGGATAGTCAGTGGGTTACCTCTTGCTCCTTTCACACCTCAGGGGATTGCCACTGACATTCAGGCCACTGTCTTTTCCTACATCTTTTCTTAGGTCTTTTCCTAAAGGCCATTTTAATGGAAATGGAATAGTAACACAGGATAAAATTGTAAGCAATGGATAACTAGCACATTTAGGCTTCGGTTTAAATCCAAGACCATTCAGGACGACAAATGCCTGTGCTTGTTATGAATAAAGATCCTTTCCTGACGAGGGTCTAGAGTTGTTTTTTCTATGACATCTAGGCTTAGGACAGATATCAGACTTAGAAATAGAATTGCTGCAATTACACTGGTGATTCACCTTCCAAGTTATGCAGATGTTGGAAAGAGTTGAGGCGTAACTGACTGTCTGAGAGACGCTGAGGTTTATTTGCTGTTTTGCTATATTCACTAAATAAAACACATGCAGCAGTTAATATGTGATTTATTTATTTTTTAGTATTTCTGCATATAGCTCAGTAAGACTGTAGTTTCGGTGTCGTTTTTGTAGGTTTTGTGGATATTTTTTTTTTTATCTGTGTAGAGCTTTTTCCTGAGACTGCATTTGCCAAAAGATGGTAGGATCTGGAATTTCCCACTGTAAATTAAAATGACACTTCTTGAGTGAAGAGCCTCCTTCCAGTTATCGCCTCTCACTTGTGAACCTAGAAGCTAATAGAAACTCCATGTCAAGAACGATAATGTTCTTGTTTTCTATTGTTGAGGCTTTTTTTGTTTCAGTGGATACCAAAGACCTGGGCTCTGAACTGAGCAAACAAAGGCCATATCACAATATATCTCCATTTCATAAGCCCCCTCTCAAACCATAGCACTTTTTTTCCTGAAAAGGTTGCTGCTATGGATAGACATTGCTAGAAATGTTGGGATTTTTTCCCTTAATGAGTCAGAGAATGATACATTGTTTGTAAACAAAGATTGTCTATATGTAGAGATTTGATCAGCAATTTCATAGAGCATTGCCAGGATATTTTTCCTCTCTTTTCCTTTATTTAATGTGGATTAGTTGTTCAAGAAGGCAATGTAAAGTAATAAGCAATGACTAAAAGTCATCACAGTGCAAGCAAATGCTACAGCAGCACCTCCCTAATCATGCTGCTAATGCACTTCATTCATGACAATCCAGTTATATTTATGGCCATTTATACCTGTGCCCTTACATAACTTGTCAGTATGTCACCATCTGCTGTTCCACTTGGGAGCTCATCTGGAGCTCATCGTGCAGGATAGAGTTGTAATATGGAGCAGATTTTATTAAAAGACCAGGCTGGAGTCTGCAAACCTGTTGCTGCTTGTCACTTGAGTTTGAATTTAAGCTCAGGTCTCCAGAGATTGAAACTGAATTTACTAGCTAACAAGTCCTGAGTGTTCTGTGTTAATTCAGTGAAGCCTTGGACACAGCCAGGCTCTCTGCTGCACCATAAATCAGGTCGTACTGTAACAATTTCATAGAAAAACAGCATTGCAAACACATGCATCCACTGAGTTTTAACTGAAGTATTAGATACAGCTTCAGCCTTTTTCTGTGCCTCTGTCTGATGCTGGAGCACAGAGTTCCTGGTTCTTAAATGATTGTGACAGTATGTGTTTCTCTCTTTATGAGGTACCGAACATGTGCCCTTAGGTCATCCATGCCACTCGCAGAAATGTGACTAGCTTTATGAATTTTATTCCATAAAACTTTGATTTATGGAATGAAATGCAGAGTATCAAAGTTAAGCTTGTATGATAAATCATCACTTGACAGCCATTAATGGAGCACACTGTCTTCATGATAATTTGATTCATCTGTGATCCCTGTTGGAGAGCAGAATATTGCCTCATTTCCTTTTTCATAAAAAATTCTTACATATCAATTGGAGAAAAAATTAAAAGCATAAGTTAAAAGGTAGGGATTGTTCTGCTAAAATTTTAATTCCCAGACCATTTACATCACATAATGTGCCAGAAGCAGCTTAATTTTTTCCTCTGAAAGGGAACAGAACATTCAAGCTTTATTGTCAAGGGCAAAGACTCGCAGTTCTCAGTAATCACTATTTCTTCCCTGGTCTGCTATGCTTTTGCAATGTAATACATTAGCAATCTGTAATACTGGCTGATACAGTTTCTAAGGAGAAAGAATCTTAAATATATTTATTTATTTATTTGTAAATATCTCTCCTTTGTTTCAGATAGGAATATGAACATTTTGCAGTACTGTCCCACTTCTGATTCCTGGACCAACTTTGAACTTTGTGATGTCCATGTTCGCAAACAACAGATGCTGTCTGTTGAAGAAACTATATATCTGGTAGGGGGTTGTATTCATGAACTTGGACCAAACCAAAAATCCAACCAAAGTGAGGACGTGTTAACTGTGCAGTCTTACAACGTTGCTACCAAAGAATGGCTCTACCTCAAAGAGAACACGTCAAAATCGGGTCTTAACTTGACTTGCACTCTCCACAATGATGGAGTCTATATATTGAGTAGGGATATTACTTTATCTACGAGCTTGGAGCACCGTGTTTTTCTTAAGTATAACATATTTACGGACAGTTGGGAGTCACTGAGACGCTTTCCAGCCTTTGGACAAAACATGCTGATCTGTTCTATGTATTTGCCTGATGGGCGAGAAGTGTAACAACATCAGGTTTTTCTTTTCAGCTCATTAATCGTTCTTGGAAGAAATATTGCTCGCTCTAAATACTTCCAGTTTCAGAATGTAATGTGGTTGCATAACATAGGTATAAAACACTCATTCTGTTCTTCAAAAAAGTTGCAAAATCTGACATTAAGAGAAATGCTTCTAGAAACAGTTTTAGGATTTCAGTTTAAAAATTTTATGGTTTTGGATTTTAATTTCACCACGTATTGTTTGCAATTTAAACATAAAATTATTGTGTTGGTAACTGATAAAGGAATTCCAAAGGCAAAACTGATCAGTCTAATTTTATTCTCCATCTTAATAGTGTTGAAGATAAGCAAGGAGTACACGTGATAAAAGTGGAAGTAATTCAATAAAGTAAATAATAAGTTTAAGAAAAATCAAAAAAAGGAATTTTTTTTTTAAATGCAGTTTTTACTCAAACTGTGTCCTGTCAAATGCACGATGTTTAAAATTGTTTATACTCTCACATTTTTATCTCTTCCACAGTAGCAAGTGAGATTCTCAATGGTGACAGCAATGAGGGTACCATCAAGAAGTAAGAACTTCACCTGAATTATGTGTAATTGAATGCTTTGCCAGGGACTGGGAGGAATTGCCTAGAGGCTGAAGGTTGCTGGTTGGATACTAGGTGCTCCTTTAATGGAAGTTGGCAGCATTTATCACTACCATTAAGATAAAGGAAAAAAGGGTGTAAATTCAAATGGAGAAGTTTGCTCATCTTCAGAAAGGTTTTAAGTTTTAGTTACCTTTTTGTACTCTCTAGTACTGAGTTTTAAAGATTGAATTCTAGTTGGGAATAAGCTGCATGTTAGGAAAATGGTGCATATGCATAAACAATGGTGATCTGCACCAGGCGCATCCTGCTTGGTAACAGTCATCCAGAACATCCATCACTTGGTATGGAAGGGTTGGTTCATGTAAATGACCTCCTGCCAACTCCCCAAAGGAGACACACGTGACTGGTGGCCCTTTCTTGCCTTTCCAGGAGCTTGACAGAGATTACCTCAAGTTTGTCACCCAAAGTTGTTAGTTTCTACACAGAGAATGGTAAGATGGTCACCATGAAAAGTTCTTTGTGAGGATTCAGGAATAGATATTCTGGGAGTTTCTCCCAGTTCCTGCATATTGCCTGAGAGAATTCTAATCATGGTCAGCCCCTTTTCTTTTTGTAGCTGACAAGTTCAAAAGTTTGAAGACGAGGAGACCTGATTACAGCCTACAAATACTTGAGAAGGGATGGTGGGAAGGCAGGGGAAGGGCTCTTTACATTAGTGATGGGTGATAGAACAAGAGGAGATGGGTATAAGCTTAGTCAGGGGAGGTTCAGGTTGGATGGTAGAAAGTATTTCTTCTGTGAAAGGGTTGTCAGCCACTGGAATAAGCTGCCCAGGGAGGTGGTTGAGTCCCCATCCCTGGATGTGTTTAAGAATAGGGTGGATGAACTACTTAGGGATACGGTTTAATGGGGATTAGGGACGGTTGAACTGGATGATCTCTAAGGTCTTTGTTTCCCTCAAGGTTCTTTTAACTCCCTGCTTCTCCATGGATTTGCATGAAATCAGTGCTGCCTAAAAGAGCTATCAGACTTGAAGGGCCTTGCTGCTTACCTCTCACACACTCAGTGCTTAGGTGCATAATTTTGATGCTTCTGATCACACATAGCAACCCAAACAGAAAATCCCAGGAAACTCTTTAATCCAGAATGGAGGACATTTGGGTTTGACCGCTTTTAGGATACAGGTATTTTGGATAACCAAGATTTACCTTTTGGGTGGAATTTTTGCAGCCTGGCACAAAGTACATTACACTTAGACCCAAACTCCTGTCTACCTTTCAGCTGCATGCATGAATTTGATGGGTTAAGCCTGTGATTATTCCTTTGAAAACACGCACTGAGCAGCTGCTGTGTTCTGACAGCGGTATCAGACCAAACAATGGCTCTTCTGCAATGAAGAAATAAGGTGACTTTCATAAGATTCTTCTTTCGGAAGTGTTTTAGAATAAATATAAGCAGTGAGTCAGTGTCTGGTGATAAGTTATCTCAATCACATTATGTTTCATAGAATCATAGAATCATAGAATGGTTAGGGCTGGAAGGGACCTTCAAAGGTCATCTAGTCCAACCCCCCTGCAAGGAACACGGATATCTCCAACTAGATCAGGTTGCTCAGGGCCTCGTCCAACCTGGCCTTGAATGTCTCCAGGGATGGAGCATCCACCACCTCTCTGGGCAACCTGTTCCAGTGTTCTACAACTCTCATGGTAGAAGAGTTGTAGAACACTGGAAGAGTTTCTTGCTTTCCTTCGTTTCTTTTCAGTTCCAGATTCGGTACCCTACTGTCATCCATAAGTCAAGTTCCTCAGATTGATACTGGTGGAGGGAGTCCCATCTGAGTTGCGAAATTCGCTTACCTAGCAAATTAACTGTGGAAACCCATCACTCCCAGATTTGCAGTGTGGTATATCTAATCAAGTCTCTTCAAACCCATTCATTTCTTAGTGCAGTCATCATTCCAAAAGCTATGACATCATCTTTTAGGTGTGATTACTCTTTTTCACAGGAGGCCTTTCCACATTGGGTTTATCTACCTGTTGGTTTCCGCTTCCAGTGATCCAGTGACCTCCTTGAAAATCTGCAGAACCCGCTCAAATGTGGAAAAGAAAGACGGCTCAGACTGTACATGCAGTGAGACCCTATTGTCAATCTATAGTGCAAATTCCTCATATACTGACATCTAACAGTACTACAATCACAAATGAAAACTGGTGTTGAATTTAGTAGCAGCACCAGACTGTAATAATCTAAATGGACTGTATCACTACAGGCTGAAATAAATATATATTTTTAAACAAAATTAATTACAGAAAAGTATGCAATGTGGGTGGCCCTCATGCCTAACAAAAAAACCCTGACACTGTAATGACTGTCCCATGTCCGTTTCATTTTCTTTCTCTCACTTTAATGTTTCACATAAGGCACTTTGGGGCAAGGAAAACCGGTTGAGAATCACTAACAGAATAATTAAAAAGATGCTTTTTAGCCAATGGAAGTGTTATTCAGTGATTCAGTGTGCTCTCTTTTCTTTGGGAGGAAAACGGTCCTTAACTTAAGGATAAATAAACTTCTTTTGAATGACAGTGATACAAGTGTAGACCAAGGAACCTTGTAGTCTGATCAACTGGAAGTTCCTCAGTGTTTTCCTGATATTGCTTCTAACTTACCATATGGGCTTGGAGAGATCACTCCACCTTCTTCCATCTTCATCCCCAATGTAACACGTGAGTAGGAATGTTCATCTTGTAGGAATACAAATGGTTTGTCTGGTGTAGTAGTGTACGTAGTGTTTGTAAGACATCTTGAGCATGTGAAGTATATATATCCTCATTCTTGTAACTGTTTACTTGGTTATTAAATCTGCTTCATGGCAACTCACAGGATAGAATTCAGCTACTAATCTCATTGTGGTCTCTACTAATTACCTTTATATTGAGTTGATGGCTCTTTGCAGTCTCTTTCTTTCTTTCTTTCTTTCTTTCTTTCTTTCTTTCTTTCTTTCTTTCTTTCTTTCTTTCTTTCTTTCTTTCTTTCTTTCTTTCTTTCTTTCTTTCTTTGTTCACTTAATTTCCTGTTGTTCATCTAAGTTTCTTAGTCTTGATTTTCTCAAGTCTGTATCCAAATTCAAAACTGCTGCTTTCCTGCTATGTCTGGGTTATCCAGTGCTTACATATCTGATATTCATCTTCTCTGTCTCCATCTATTCATCTTCTCTGTAATTCCCCTTGATTCTGACCAGCAAAAGCTGACTGTAGTAGAGGATGATCCTAAGTCAAAAGAAAGGACAAGAGCCTCCAAAGTCCTGAGGGAGGAGTAAGTGGAAAACTCTGGGATCTTAGTCTCTTCTCATAAAATAGAGAAGGATTTAAGAAGGTTGCTCACATCAAGCTAAGAGAGAGCATAGTAGTTTCTTCCTTTCTGGGAATGGTTTGTGATTTCAATGTGAAATAAGAGTTGTGTGGGGCTTAATTTCATCTCCCTGGCTGGTTTCTGTAGGTTTCCCTTTCTGCCCTGTCAGTTGACCTTTCTTGTGCTTAATATCTGTGTTTTCTATTCTTTGAGGATTTTGCCATTCTACATCGGTGTCCAGCCTGTTTTGTTGAAATTATACAGTAGCAGTTTGTTGGTCTTTTCTATTTGTTAGTCTGCTTTTCACACTGATCTGCGACTCTCGATCACCATGATGGAAAGGTATAGTAGTTTGTAATTCAGATTGAACCATTTTCTTTGTTCAATTTTGGCCTCTTGGAAGAGAAGTCTATGACGCTAAAAATGTTTTGTTTCATTTAATCCTCCTTTTTATTGAGAAATGATGTTACAGACATTCAGTTTGTTAAAATTGATCTGCGTCAGTAATGTGATAGAGAACGGAAGGTACAGAGTGTAATGACAACATTTAGCACATAACATGCTGAAAGCCCT